AAGTAAATTATTTTTAATAATATATAATATATACATATACTGTATATATATAATTTATTGAACTTGAACATGTTCATAAACTTTTGAACTGAGCCTGAACTGAACCTGAGCTTGACTTAAAAGTTCAATATTGAATCTAAACTGAACTTTTTTTAAAAAAAATTCAAGTTCAAGTTTAGTTCAATTTTGAACTGAACTTGAACTTAGCCAAAAGTTCAGTTCAGTTCAGTTCATAGGAACACTACTCATGGATTGTTGTATTAATTTATATGTGGTATTTACAAATAAATTTATTAATATAAACTACTGTCCAAAATATAACGAGCCTTATTATAAGTTTTGCAAAACATCAAGGGTACCCAGAAAAAGTACTGCTTATTGGTCACTTATAAGTTTACTCCAGATACAGTATAAAGATAAAGCTCAAGCTGAGACTAGTGCTTCTAGGTCTGGTTTGGGTCTGGTCCGGTCTGAGTTCGGTCCGGGATCAAACCAGACTCAAACTCTAAATTTTACTAGTTTTGAACTTCGGACCAGACTCAAACTCAATTTTGAGTCCAGTCCAGATCTGGTTTAAAGTTCACGAACATGTCCAGTCTAAGTCTTAGCTCATCATATGCATATCTGATTAGCTAGCATTTATAGATCATCATAATTAGTATTGTCATAATTAATATATAAGCATTTGTAATCTAATACTATAATTAACTCTACTCAATTTTGTTGTATCGTTGTGGTCGTGTATGTTTCAGTTTTTTGCTATTTATAGCTTGCAGTACTTTGATCTTTCTGGTTTTTTTTATATGTAATTTATTCTTTGATATGAGATCGTTAAAATAATTTCCTTATAATTGTGTAAAAGGAATGATTTACACTTGCTATTTTTATAGTACTATAGTACTAGATATTATTGCAAGATTGTTCTGGTATAGTTTGTTCGTTCTAGTACTAGTACTAAGTACTATATACAAACCTTCACTAAATGTATATACTGGATGTAGTAAATCTGGTTTTGTAAATTTGTATTTTATCTGTTTTTTTGTATTTTAAATAAGATTTGTTTGTCAAATTTT